TCTATTTTTTTTTTTCTTCACCTCACCTCTCTAAACCCACCTTTTCTTGACCGAAAAATCGGAGAAAACGCCGCGCTCTTCGCCTGACTGCAAATCGGCACACTAATCCCCGGCCTTATCCGGCGCTGAATCACTTTTTTACCCACAGCATCACTTAACGAAAGATCTGGCGGCGCTGACGTGGCGCGCCGTTTTTTCAAGCTCAAGAGCTCCTTCCAAAGGACGGTGCATTTCGGGGGCCTCGGGGACGGGCCCTCGTCCGGCAACCAGCTCATCTTCGCCGTCTCTTCCCGAGGCTTCGGGCCGGGTTTTTTCGGGCCGGGCTGCAGGAAGGGGAGCATCTTGCCCTGGTGGCAGAGCTCGTCCGCGGGCATCATCGTGCTCGGCCGCCGGCTTCCGGACGGGAACTCGAACTCGAACTCAATCATGTCAAGTTCGGAATTATTGAGTTCGTCTAACGAGCCGTGCAGGCCCCACATAGGGTCGGGGCATATGGAGATGAAGTCGCGCTCGTCGAAAAAATCAGACGAGAAAGATGCCCGCGGGCTCGTGGGCTGCTCAGTCGTCGAATTTAGTGTAGATTGAAGGGCTTTTTCTAGGGAGACCATTTTTCTTTTTTTTGGAGAAAGTGATTTAGAAGTTTAGACATGGCTATCTGCATGGGTTTATAAAGAATGTGTGATGGTGGAAGGTGTTGAGGACCTCCTTTAAGATGTGGTGATGATTGATAGATTTATGTGTTGATTGATAGCTTCATTATGTGTTGTCACTTTCTTTTAGTTTGGTTTTGTTGTACTAATGTTGAAGCTAGCAAAATGTGGTCAGGTGAAGTTGGACAATGGTTATTCAACATGATTCTTGACTTTGTATATAGTGTATTATTTTAATTTATTTTGTTTTTATAGGCTTAATAAAATATTGGTTGGCTGGCGGGGAGGGCATTATTTTAGTAATAGTTTTTGTGTTTTTGTTTGTTGGGTGACGTTATTTTGTTTGTTTAGTTGTGTATATTTGTTCTATAGTCTCACTCATGGAGAGTAGAACTAAGCATGATCTTTGGGATATTTAATTAATTAATTTATTTGTTTTATTTATTGTTAGTATTTTAATTTAATATTTGTTAGTAAAACTATTTAACTATTCTAGTCTTTTAATTATAGGAAAGATATTTATTTTAGTCTTTTAGTTGGTAGGGAAGTTATTTAATCATTTTAGTATTTTATTTGTTAAGAAACTTATTTATTTTATTAGAACCCTTTACTTGTTGGGCGAAATATTTACTAAGGGCTAGGAGTTTTATTTAAAGACTATTATTTTACTTGGTTGAATTTGATGAGATAAGAATATTTTTCTTGAGAGTTTTATCTCTTCTTTTTCCTTCCGTACGCTTTCGCTACGTCAATCGTTATCAGCATACCAATACGATTATACACCATGCCGCCGAGATGGAACGATGCTGACCGCAAATGCGACGCCCTCATGGAGACGCTGGGACGCTAGTGTAAGGCGTTGTGACGCCAAGACAAGGTGCTCAAACAAGCGTTCAGACGCAAGGTCGTCATTCTAGCCGCGGGGAACGAGAATATCCAATTGGCTCTACGTACCGCTTTTCATGGCAACCAAACCAACCGTGCGATAGACGGAGGACGTGGCAGCAGCGGGGGAATAAAGTGTGGACGCAGTCGGGGCACACACGGGGGCGCCCCACTTCCGATCGCCTTAATCATTTGTCGGTGACGGTGATGTTAACGTCACCATATCCGAGGTACGCCCTTTTGGTAATATAGTGACACGAGACGAGGACTACTTCGTCGACGATCGACGATGGGGGGCTTTTTTTGGAGTCGAGATCTGAGAATTCTCCAACGGCTTGAAAGTCGCCGAGTTCTTGGATGACAAGGTATCCTCCAAATATGAGGGTCCGCCTCTTTTTAATGACGAGGGGTCGACCGAATATACAGGTCAACTTATTTTTTATGCCGAGGGGTCAACCGATTATGAAGGTCCACTCATTTTAGACGAGGAGCCATTTCTGGCGTCGATGGAGGACGAGTACCATGTGGTTGTAGAATCATCTCTGAGGCTAGAGGTTGTCGCTAGAATGGATGTTGTCAATGAATTAGAAGATGAACAAACAGATGTGTCTGATAACTCGAATCGTGTACCCAAAAAGGATAAAGTGCAACAGGCCAATTACTTTGGGTCATTGAGTACGTGGGAATTTTTTGGGAGCTTGGGGAGTAGTGGTCATAGATTTTCTGCTCGTGACTATACCAAGTTCACGGCTCGTCAAATGGGTCCTTTCGGGATTGTGGAGCAGATGAAGACGAGATTGCTTCAGATTCGAGGGCTAATCCTTTTTGAGAGAGGGGTAATGATGGAGATGAGGACAAGCATGATCTTTGGGATATTTAATTTAGTATTTATTTCTTTTAATTATTGTTAGTATTTTAGTCTTAAATTTGTTAGTAAAATTATTTAGTTGTTCTAGTCTTTTAATTATAGAAAATACATTTATTTTAGTCTTTTACTTACTAGGGAATAAGTTATTTAATTATTGTAGTCTTTTATTTATTAGGAAACTTATTTATTTTATTAAATTTATTTACTTGTTGGGCAATATTTACTTATAGTTAGGAGTTTTATTTAAAGACTCATCTTGTATTGTTTCACTTGGTTGAATTTGATGAAATAAGAATATTTGAGAGTTTTATCTCTTATTTTTCTTTTCATACGCTTTCGCTATGTCACTCATGTTCGGTAGTTGTTGTATTCTCCTATTCGGAGCTGTGTTATTCTCTTGTTGGGAGTTTTGTGTTATAAGTATTTATGTGCTATGCTTAGGTTGGTTCTAGGATGCATGGGGCTAGTTGCCTATGATATTAGTCCTCCCAGCTTGATTAAGTTGAGTAGCTGAACTATTATGCTGATTAGATGTTTTCTAGTTTGTAATTATGTGTCTTTCTTTTATTGAATTCTATCGTTTCNTCGTTTCGAAAAAAAAAAAAAAAACTTACTACATTCACAAAATAATGAGGAATTCGTCCATACAGTTGGTAAAGTTTGAAAGACCGCGACTGTTTTTGTGAATATTGTATTATTTTATTGTGTTCTATTTGGATGAGAATTTTATATGGACAAGACTTCAGTGAAATGAATATTTTGGGGCAATTGAGAAAGAAAATAAAATATATAGAGGGGGTTGTTATTCTAATAGGAAGCAGTACATAAGAGAATGAGACTAGAACACTAGCAAAGAAGGATATTTAAGCAATTTCGACTTCAACCGTGTCGGTGAGACAAGAAACATTGGAGCATACATTCTCGACAACTAAAGGTCAAAACTGTTATCTGAATAATCTAGAAGCCCAACCGTTGTTGAATAATACTAGGCGAAGGCCAACAACTTACACCTACAAAGAATGCAACTTCAATACAGGATCAAGCAATGATTGAACTCGAACCATCCCACCCCACTCCACCAGACATAAGGAATTAACGATACATTTTAGATAACTGAACCATGAGGACCTTGATTATCAGGGTAAGAGCATATATAAAACATTTAATTCTAAAAATGTAAAATAAGTCAGAATTCAGATATTTTTCCCTCCCCTCTTCCAATTTTATAAATCTATAAAAAAAACAGCAAAACCCACAGTTCAAACAGGAATCAAACCATAACCTCCACTAATAAACTGACTTGAAATTTGAAAGAGTATTATTTTTGGCATGAGTTCAAAAATCAATATACTGAAGATATGTTCCTACAAGCACAAGGAATTTATATAAGGGAAGTTCATTTGTTTACTTATATATGTGCGGATTTTTTAGTTAAATATATACTGAGTTAAATGATCTTATTATGGTATTTTTATTGTAGGGATGCGGCTAAGGCACATACACGAGATCTTGGAAAATCAAGAGAAGATTGGATAACTAAGGCAAGAAGATATTTGGAAAGAGAAGAAGAGTCCTAAAACTAGAAGACTATCTTGGATAAACTTGGAAGGCAATCAAGAACTTGAAGAGGACTCCACGTGAAGGAAATCATATAAATACCTACCTTGAAGATTGAAGTAGGGTTGCCGAAACTTATCACTCACACTCGCTGCATTCAATCTTCAAGCATTTTAGTGCTTGCAGTTTTTGTTCATGAATATCAGTTCTTCATACACTCGGTGATAAAAGAACTGAAATCACTTTGATTATATTTCATTCTATTTCGTTTCAAACATTTTGTGATTTACACTAAGGGAGTAAGTGTTAGTAAATAAGTCCACGGGATGTGGCCGAAGAAGTAGTTGATAGGCTAGTTCATAGTTGTGGTTAGAATAGAAGGGAATTCTATTTTGTAAGTCCAAACTATGTCCTTGATAGTTGTCAATGAAATAGCTCTGAGGGGAGTGGGATGCTTCCCTGAAGAGTTTTAAAATCTTTGGTTGTTGCTTCCGCAAATTTTAAGTTTTTATACTTGTTCGTACTACGTTGAGCGCACTCGCGATAAATTTTATACGTTTCAATTGGTATCAGAGCAGTGTTCCTGTTCTACATACAGAATAAAAATCTTTGGGACTGTGATTGGTCACCATGAATCACGATGGGATGTCTGTTTCGCGCCCTCCGTTCCTTGATGGTTCGAACTACGGATACTGGAAATCCATGATGGTTATCTTCTTACGTTCTCTAGGGAAAAGAACATGGCAAGTTGTGGAATCAGGATGGTCATTACCAGTTATGCCAAAAGTTCCATCTGAATCTAAGGAAGGTGAGTCCTCGGATGCAAAGTCTTCAACCTCGGCTACTCGTGTCCTAGTCGAGAAACCTAGAGGTATTTGGACGGATGATGAAAGACAAGCTGAAGAAGCAAACTTTCGGGCACTTTATGCAATCATGTTGGCTGTGGATCCTACTCGCCACAAGATGATTATTCAGTGCACAACTGCTCAAGATGCGTGGAGAATTCTGGAAAGACAATTTGAAGGTACAAATGCTGTGAAAACCTCGAAGCTCCAAAGGATCTCTACTGAACTTGATGAGATCCGCATGAGGGATGATGAGACCATAGATATGTACTATGATCGCTTCTGTGATCTTGTAAATCAAAGTGCAATACTTGGTGAACATGTATCGGAGGAAAGACATGTACAAAAGCTGATGAGAACTTTACCGGACAGATTTGGAATCAAGATAACAACATTGAAAAGCTTTTAGAGGATACAAAAGCTTGGCATTGATGATCTTCTCAGTGATCTTCGTACATTCAAAATAAACAATGGGTTTGATTCAATGAAGATAGGCAAAGGAAAAGGCTTGGCTCTTAAAGATAAAGTTCGTATCACAATTGTGGAAGAAGAAGACTCGGATGAAGAATCCTTCGATGCTGACGAGATCTTGAAGGCTCTCACTGTTCTCACCAAGAACGTATCAAAATTGAAGAAATTTCAGAAGAAAAGGTTCCTAGGAATCAAGTCTGTTGAAGGTGGTAAGAACTTTATACAGCAGTCCGGAGAACGGTGCCCTGGTATGCAGCTGTCGAAATTCCAGAATGTCAATCAAGGTATTGAAAAGGACCAGTGCAGGGAGTGTAAAGGTTTTGGGCATTTTC